TTAGGTTTGCTGGTGACAAATTCTTAGTTTTCCTTCATCTGGGAATTTCTTGTTTTCCCCATCATTCCTGAAGGATATTATCCCTTGATATAGATTTCTAAGTTGACAGCACTTTTGTTTTATTTCTTAGAAATTATGTATCACTTCCTTTTTTCAACTTGATTTCTGATGAGAGGTTTATTGTCATTCAAATTTTTTTATTCCCATTAGGAAGGAGTAAAAATTCCTCTCTTGCTACTTTCAAGGTTTTTATTTTTCCTTTGTTGATAATTTTCAGATGTTTTATTATGATGTGTTTTGTGTGAATTTCTTTAGTTTTATCCTGTTTATGGTTTCATTTAACTTAATAGGTTTGTCTCTTCCAAATTTGGGAAAGTTTAAATCTTATTTCTTGGAATAAGTATTTTTAGAAAAGATTACCAAAATTGGAATCTCTTGATAAAAGGCTACAAACATTTAATATTCATTAGGTAGTTTCTAACAACTCTCCCAAGGTTTATGGCAGATTTTATTCCCATTAACAGTGAACAAAAGTGTTATCTGTTTATCCACCCCCTCACCAACAGAAGTTATTAATCTATGAAACCATTTTCAATGTTATTAAACCAAAAACAATTAATTGCTGCATTTCTTCTCTAATTAATTGTTAATTTTCATGCCAACTATTTTTTTTTTTTGGTACTAGGGATTGAACACAGAGGCACTTAACCATGAAGCCACATCCTCAGCCTTTTTATTTTTTATTTTGAGACGGGGTCTTGCTAAGTAACTTAGGGCCTGGCTAAGTTGCTGAGGCTGGTCTCAAACTTGAGATCCTTCTGCCTCAGCCTCGTGAGTCACTGGGATTACAGGCACACACCACCACATTGGCTCATGCCACTTCTTTTTTTCTTTTTTCTTTTCTTTTCTTTCTTTCTTTCTTTCTTTCTTTTTTTACTATTTTTAATTGTAGATGGTCATAATAACTTTATTTATTATGTAGTGCTGCATATCAAACCCAGTGTCTCATATGTACTTAGGCAAGTGGTCTACCACTAAGGCACAACCCCAGCCCTCATACCAATTCTTTTGATGGGTAGTTAGTTCATCTTTTTCTTATTGAACATAGAGTTCTCATTGTACATTTTGAAAATTATTCTTTTGTCATTTATATTGCTAATGTATTTTCCAGTTTCTTGTTAGATTTTTAAACATTTTTTTTAACCAAACAGAAATTTTAAAATTTTAATATACTGAAATCTTCATTCTATAAATTTAGAAAGGGCTTTCCCTTGAGATTATACAAATATAATTAATTAATTAATTTTTGGTACTTGGGATTGAATCCAGGAGTGTTCTACCAGTGAGCTACATCTCCACTACTTTTTTATTTTTAAATTCCAGGCAGGGTCTTACTGAGTTACTGAGGCTGAACTTGATCTTGCTGTTCTCCTGCATTAGCCTCCCAAGTGGCTGGGATTATAGATGTGTGCTACTTTGCCTGGCATTATTTTATATTTTGTCTAGTATTTCCAAGGTTTCATTTTCCCATTTAAGTTTTGTATCCATCTGGAATATATTTTCATATCAAAGTGAAATAGATAATAATAGATTTTATCTTTATTTTTATTTATTTATTTATTTTTTATTATGTTGAGGATTGAACCCAGGGCCTCATGCACTCGGGGCAGGTGCTCTATCACTGAGCTACAACTCCAGCCCTAATCGATTTTTTAAAAAAATCAGATTTTGGTATAGGGATATATGGAAGAAGAGAAAGGGAAGTTTATAAGAATGTTGTATACCTGGAAAGAGGGAGATACTGGAAAATGGTGGAGTCAGGTGGCTGTCTCCTCTTTTCTCAATGTTCTTTTTGGATGCTACATAAAGGAAAGGTTAAGGCAACTGGAGGTGCGAAGGCTGAGGGAAAAATAAATTTAAAAAAGTTGTGGGAAATCACCAGTTTTACTCAGTAACATTTTTGTTTTTATAAAAAGCTAGGAAGTAATAGGAAAAATGAAATTACTTTTTTGGGTGATTTTTGTATTGCTTTTGGTTGCTGGATGGACCTTTCCCTCTCTTGACTAGAGAAGAAGACTTATAGTGAATTTATATTAAATTTGCTTTGCCTTTATAGTGCATCCCATTGGAACACTGGTCCACAGTTATGAGGCACATATTTACTTAGTTTACAAAATTTTCCAAGTATATATTAAGGATGAAGGTATAGGGGTCATGGTTATTATGTGTTTGGTCTCTGGAATAAGACAGCTTGTTTTTAAATCCTAAACGGATCACTTACTGGCTGTGTGATCTTGGGCAAGTTACTAAACTTTTCTGTGCTTCATGTTCTTCATCTACAAAATAGGGATATTAATACCTCATAGAATTGCTCAGTGTATTAGAATAGTGTTAAGCATATAATTAGCAACTCGTTAGTGCTAATCATTGGCACAATACATATGGTCTGTGCCATTTGGACTTTGCATTCTTGAGTGAGGAGATAGGTTTAAAAATCATAAATAAAAGTAATGATTACTCTAAAATAGTTAAGGGACTGAGATAGAGTATCACAACACAGTGGGAGGAGAATCTTCTTTTAGATAACATGGTCAGGGAAGGCATCTCTGAAGAGGGAATGTTTAAAGCTGAGAGTTGAACCTTGAGAAAAAGCTAGTGGTTTTAAAAATGGAGGGGCTGGGGTTGTAGCTCAGTGGTAGAGTGCTCGTCTAGCATGTGTGAGGCCCTGGGTTCAATCCTAAGCACCACATAAAAATAAAGAAATAAAATGAAGATATCGTGTCCAGTTACAACTAAAAAATAAATGTTAAAAAATTCAAAAAAATAAAATAAAATAATAAATGGAGAGAAAATATTCCAGGCAGGAGGAACATCATATGCAAAGAGCCCAAGGAGAGGGAGTTTGGTATACTCAAAACTTTGAAAGAAGACCATTATAACCAAAGTGGAGTGAAATGAGAAAGGAAGTGTTATGAGCTGAGGTTCATGTAGTAGGGAGGAACCTTGTAGACCAGGAGAAGGAGTTTGGGTTTTACATTACATACAGAAGTAAAGGAGGGACATGGAACTATTTTTCTTTTTCTCAAAAGTTGCTCTTGTTATTATGTTGCTTTTGTATTAGAGAAACACAGAGAGCAGACTCAGTGGCAATGGAGATGGAAAGAAATAGATGGGGATAAGATATATTTTGAGGTAGAATCAACTGGACTTGGTGAAGGATTTATGAATAGGAGTGTAAGGGGATGGAAACAAGTTTGAGTTGAAGTCAATAGGTTCTTTTTTTTTTGCTTTTCTTATATTATTTAATATAGTCTTCATTTTTATTTTTTAAAATTTTTCTCTTTTTTAAATTTTTAATTTTTTATTAGTGTTTTATGGTTATACACAGTAGCTGGTTCATTTCAAGAAACTCATACATGCATGGAAATTTATTTCAGTTGCTGATCCCCTCTTTCCCTGCTGCCCTCCCCTTCCTTCTCCTTCCTCTACTACATTTCCTTTCGCTTATCTATTAATTTTTATTTGAATGGTTCTTTATGACTGAGTAGCAGTTTTTGATGTGGTATCAATTTTTGAAATATGGACGTTGGGGGAAGGATTAAGTTTGGGGAGAGGATTGATAATTAAGAATTCTAATGTGAACATGTGGTATTTGAAATTTCTCTTACATGTCCAAGTGGAGATATGGAATAGTCATTGGATTTGTGAGCCTGAAGTTTAGGGACAACTTTTAGATGCTGTTTTAAGTCATGGATCTCAATGAGATAACCCAGGAGATTTAAAAAAGAAGAGGGCCTGAGATGCTATGAATATCTTTAATGTGGAGGCTATAAGAGACTAAAAAGAGAATGGGCTAATAATAAAGTTAGGAATGTAGTTCAGTGTGATAGAGTGCCTGCTACATATGCAGGAAATCCTAGATTTTATCCCTGGCATCTACACTTTCTTTTTGCCTCCACAGAGGAAGGGCAGCATTATAAATTCTGCAAGTCTTTTGTCAGTGAAAGGAAAGGGAGGAACCAGGAGACAGATGAGGGAGAAATGAAAGAGGAGACTAGGCAGAGATTCACACAAGAGCTTATTTGTCAGAGCTCACAAATAAAAGTCATCTTTCCATAGATGGAGAGAGGCCCCGAAATGTTCTGTCAGCTTCTGTGGGGTAGGAGTAGGGGTTGTAGCTGTGGCGCTATGGGATAGGCTCTGGGGGTGCTAGCTCAAATGTTAAATCAATACTCTATAGTCTGTTCCTCATATAATCTTCTAGTTCCTGGCACAGAGTAGGTGCTCATTAAATATTTTTTTAAACAACTAAATTAATGTATAAATTAAAAAAAAAAGAATATCTGGGTTATAGTAGCTGCCCTGCCACAATGCAGCTTTGTGATATCGGGCAGTTAACAAGCTACAATTTTGTCATATGTAAATTGGCAATTTAAAAAGTACCTATCTTTTCTGAACAGAATTTAAAGCAATGAAATGTTTACAGCAATTACCACAGAGCTACTCCTGAATTAATCTTAACTTCATTAGCTCCCTGCACTTGGAGTGTCCGTTTATAAAATAGGGGCAACAACTTCTGACCTGCTTCTTTTACAAGGCCATTTCTGAAGCCTGCAGGAGTTAATGTTTGACTCTGTAAGGGGTTATTAATATTCATGTTTTAGTTTGTTTGAAACGACACCATCTGGCTGCTCTCCCTTCGTCTTCCTCCGAGAGGATTATTTAAATGTAAACGTGTCTTTGGTGAAATCCATTACTCCCCGCCGGCAAGCCTAGCTGGACTGACTAATTACACTGGAAACCACACCCCAACAAGAAGTCCTTTAGTTCCGGAGTTCCATTGAAAAATTCTCGGCCCCCACCCCTCCACCGGTTCCTTGCTAGTGGGAGGGAGCATCTTAGCTGTGTACGCTGATTGGCCCCCTGCTGGCCAATCACAACTGCGCTTCCTCCTTGGGCTACAGTTTTCAAAATCTATGGGCCAATTGGAAAGAGCACAGGCCAGGCTGAGATGGACTTGTGCCGGTAAGACACGGACCTCTGTATATTTCCCTCGCCTCTCCTGTTCTGTCCTCAGTCGCGGTGTGAGGTAGGCACCTGTGGGATTGTACTGCCAGCTGGAGTGTCTGACTTTGTCTCCTGACTCCTGCCGGTGGATCCTTGGGCGTCACTCCACCCCCTTGTTACATGTGCTGGGATATGCAGCGTCCCAGCAACAAAAAGTCTCCTCCCATCACTCAGCAGTCTGAAAAACTACTACAAGGTTGGGCAAGGAGTGTGGACAAGGGGGTAAGATGACAAAGCAAGGGAGTCTGGTCCCAGCTTTTAGATGGAGTGACCAGTATACATGACTGAACCAGAGTACTTTTTACAAAACATCTTTCACAAGTGAAAGTGTGCAGGATCAATTTCATTTCACAAGTGCTTGTGGGATCAGATGCATTTTTAACTTGGAGAAGATTACTTTAAGGATGTCTTTTAAACTACATGTTGAAGGACATGAAGAGAGGATAGAAACATGCTCTCTCTGTTATACCTTTTATTTCCACTGGCTCTTTTCTATTCTGTCTCCAACACACTTAAGTTCTGGCTTGCCTGCCCACCCCCTGCCCCTTCCACTAAGGTCCATTTAGAATTCTAGAACGTCTGAGGTGGACTCTTAAACCATTACCTCTTAAACTTTAAATAGTATGCAGATCACCTGGGCATATCGTTAATTTGGGATTTGGAAGGTTTACCTTGGGGCCTGAGGTTTTAAATTTTAAATTGCTGACAGGTTCCCAGGTGATGCTAATGTTGCACATCCATTGACCACACTTTGAATATGGAAGAAGCTCTGGTCCCATTGCCTGATTTTATTAGGTGAGGAAATTGAGGCCCATGTTGCCCAGTGCCACCCAGCTAGAACTAGACCCTATGCATCCTTCCTAGCCCAGTGCTCTTTTCAGATGACTTTTTTTTTTAAACTGGGGAGGGGTTGCCTAACCACGGAGCCATATCCCCAGCCCTTTTTATTTTGTGACAGGTTCTTGCTAAGTTGCTGAGGCTGGCTTTGAACTTGTGATCCTCCTGCCTCAGCCTCAAAGTTGCTGGGATTATAGGTGTGCACCTCTGCACTTGGCCTTTCAGCTGTTTTCATTGAAACCTTGCTGTGTTCTCTCTCCAATGCCTTGCTGTATGTAACCTGCCTTTACATGTAAAATGAAGCTGCTACCCCTTCCTTGAGACTATTTTGCTCAACTTCACTGCTGCCTTGCGTAGGTTTCAGCACCAGCCCTAGGATGCCCAACACTGTCTCTAACAATTATCAGTGTGTATATAGGGGAGATGGAAAGTCTGAAAAGGGGAAAGGATTCTAATTTTCTTGACCAAGTAAAGCTCAGGATTTTGTTTGTGGTGGAATGAAAAGTGTCCTTTTATTAAAGAATATTTTTGATGGTGTTAGTCCTCCCCTCCTCCTCTCTTTACCCCTAATGGCAGGGAAGTTAGTTTATAGGTCATTGTATTTATCTTCAAGTTATTAGAGTTCAGGACAATGAATGTAGCATTTGACCATTATCTGAATATCCTTATTTTCTCTGAGGTTCAGTCTGTAATATCAGCTGAGGTTTTTCTAGCCTGTTGATTCCAGATTTATTCTTTCCCCTGGAAAGATAAAGGTTTCAGAGCATGAGTTTTTGGTCATCCATAAAAAAATGTATAAGGCATGAATAATAATCGTGGTTTTCATAAAGTGTAGTTAAGCGTGGGTGCACCCAATTTTGCTTTATTGTTGCTTGGCTGAGTTTTGAGGGATGAGATGGAAAATAGATTTGGATCCAAGGCAATAGAAGAGTAAGATGCTCTATTTATTGCATACCTACCATGTGTGCTTTGTAATACAGATTTATATTTGATCTGTATGCCTCCTCTTTAAGTGGTATTATAGTTGTCTTGCAAATGAGGAATCAGAGATGTTAAGTTAGCTGATGTAGAAGTTATATTGCTCAGACTCCAAAACCTGTGCCAGTTTTACTTCCCATCACTACAGCCTTTAGCTTTTTTGGAATGTTTTTAATGTGATCTGAGAGACTTCATGGTATTTTACAAAGAGCCCTAGAAGGAGATGAATAATTTATACTTCTTAATAGTTTGTCTTGAGTAATAAGCCATGTAACTTATCTGGGGCTATAAAGTGGAGAGTTGTACCTCCTCTGCTTAATCTCATTGTTTTGTTATGTTTAACTGAAATAAAATGTCAAGGCATACTTGTGTTGGCCTTTCCTCACCTACAAAATATTTAATATTCTCCATCCAAAGCAAAACCCAAATCAGCCTTCATCCTTTCTTAGGTTTCCTCCCAAGCTATAGTCTTAACTGCTTCCTTCCTTTTTTTAATTTTTTAAAAAATATTTTTAACTACATGACAGCAATGGAATGCATTGCAATTCTTATTACACATATAGGACATAATTTTTCATATCTCTGTATATAAAGTATGTTCACACCAATTTATGCCTTTATACATGTACTTATACATGTACTTTTTTTGCGTTTCAATTCTTAATACACATATATACCACAAGTTTTCTATCTCTGTATATAAAGTATGTTGACACCCAATTCAAGTCTTCATACATGTACTTTATATAAAGATGTCCATCAAATTCCACCATCCTTGCTAATCCCTTACCCTCTCCCTTCCCCTCCCACCCCTCTTCCCTATCTAGAATTCATCTATTCCTCCCATGCTCTCCCTCCCTACCCCACTATGAGTTAACCTCCTTGTATCAGAGAAAACATTTGGCATTTGTGTTTTTTTGGGGGGGGGATTGGCTGACTTCACTTATTAACTGCTTCCTTTCTTAACTAGCTTGGCCCTCACCTAGCATATCAATTTCATTCTAACCAGGCCCCAAAATATTCTTTCTTTTCCTATATCTTTGAGGTACCGAGGATTGAGTTCAGGTCTTGCACATATTGGGCAGGTGTTCTTCCACTGAGCTATATCCCCAAATCCCCCTCCCCCAACATACTCTTTATATTCAGTACTCTGAAACAAGTGAGATGTCCCTGAACTCGGCATCTTCAACAGCTCTGCTGGGCTTGAGCTTTCTTTGCCTGGAAGTCTACTTGGGAACCTCTTTGTCATTTAAGTCCAGATCAACTATTATCTCCTCCGTGAAGCCTTCCCCATCTCCTGACTTTCCATTACCTATTTATAGTACTGTCTTAGTTCAGGCCGCCATGACAAAATGCACAGACTGAACAGCTTCAACAATAAACATATCAACTAATCATCTCCTACAGGTCCCATCTAATACCATCAAATGGGGGGTGGTTAGAATATCCATATGAATTTTTTGGAGGGGGCAGACAAACATTCAGTCCATAAGAAGTATCTACCTTTATTAAATCATTTGCTACATTTTTATGCTAATGTTAAGAGTTGTGCATGTAAATATCTCAAGAGTAAATTGCACAATTTATTTCTGTTTGCATCTCTTTCCTAAAGCTACTGTTACATAGTGGTAAGTTTGTCGCATTGCCTTGGGGGATCTTTCTTAGGGAAGTTTATTTTTTGTTAAATGAACTTGGAAATTGAATGTGGGTGGAATTGCAAGGACATTTGTATCTAAGCAGAAATAGTCTCTTGTATATCCAATCAATGATTGCTTTTAATAATAATGTATTTACTTGTTACACACACACACACACACACACACACACATACACATACACGCACTCTCTTTAAATATTGAGGACTCACAAACTAAAAGAAGCTTTAAGGAGATAAAGTGGGGTCTTATACTGAGATGGGAAAAGGACTCTCCTCTGGGTTGTAATGACTGTTAAATTCTTATGAGAAATGATTTTCAATCATTTCACTTCTTCTGCTATCTCATCTTTTGATTTTTTTTCCTACTAGGTGTCTAGGATTGGATAAGAGTTTCTTCTGATTAAATGCAGCCTCTGAATACTGTCTGGCCTGTCATGCATAATGTGTGTGGACATCGGCTTGTCTTTTCTATTAACTATTGTGGCCAGGACCCCATGCCTTATTAAAGAACATTAAATCTATCTGATTGTCTCCAGACCATATGAACTACTTTGGACTTGATTGTTTTCAACACAAAACTCTCATATAATTTGTTCCCAGTATTTATAAGCCTGTATGATGGGCTAAGTCTTAGGCTGAGTGCCTCCAGAGGATGGGAGACATTATGCTGGGCTTTTTATATAGAGTATCTCATTTAATTTGAACAGCTTTTTAGAGGTAGATATGCTTATTTTCATTTTATAGATGAGGTCACTGAAACTCAGAGAGTTTTAAGTAGCTTGCCCAAGCTTAATTGTGATCAAAACAAGATTTAATCCCAGATCTAACCAACTTCAAAGTATGTTTTCTCCTCACGATGCTATAGAGAGACTGAGTTTTTTTTTTTTTAAGAGTTTCCAGAGAATTCTGTGATGTTTCTGGTGAATGGTGATTTAAAGAATCCCTTTCTGATTACAGCCCTGTCTTGTACAAGATGCCACTGCCACTACTACGACAAAGCTGCAAACCTGAAACAAAGAAATTTCAGTCTGGCAAAATTGTGCCCTGTGATCATGACCTCTCCAACAAGGTTAGAACAAGTCATTTTTTTTTCTCACATAGTCTTTGTATTAGCTCAGTACTATTTTCACCCCAAATCTTTTAGAATATGTCTGATTAATCTGAGAAAGTGGTGAGGGTTGGAAGCCCTTAAAAGTTGGATAATACCAGCAAGTTAGAACTTGGGGAGAAAGTTCTTTCTCATAAATATATGATTCACATGAAGTCCTCACTCCACAATTTTCAAAACCAAACAATATTCATTTCTCATTAGTGAAGTTGGCTATACTCTTTCTCTGAGAAGTTCTAAGCAACTTTCCAGGAGGCTGTACATCCTGGAAAGAGTATGAAGATTATATCAGCAAATGTGTTACCATGCTTTTTATAGAAACAGGTTGAGCATCACATTTGAAGAATGTGGGTACAGTTTAACTCTGATGTTTTGACCTTTAAGATAGTCTGACATTGTTATTCTGACCCTGATATGTTCTATGTTCATCATCACATATATTTTAATCAGAATTATATTGACACTGATGAACTGTCATCAAGAGAATATTTCCTAGAGCAAACATAATTAGACCAATTTAATTTTCTTGATTGATTTTCTCTCAGTGCAGATAAACATTTGCTAATCATTTTCACTTTTCTTATTAAAATGATTTTCACAGAGGGTTTAGTTTTATTTCATGTAAATTTATCAGGAAAGATTTGTTATATTGTCAAGATTTTGTCTATATCCATTTTTCTTATAGGATATCTGCCATTTTAAGTTTTCTTTTGTGACAGTTATTTCTCCAAACCAAACTTTCTTGGAGCACATTTTTGCAAATCTAAGTTCTATTAGGTTCAGTTTCTACTGTTGTACTGATTATTTCTACCAGTAATATTAAGTAGGAATTGGATAATAGCCTGACATTTTATTTCTCATCTAATTTGTGAGAAAATGATATTTAGTTTTTTGGCTAATAATTTCTACTAAGATTATTTATCATGAATAAGATGAAAGATTAATACTTTACTTATTTCTCAGCTTAATCAGTTAGAAAACAGAAGTAATTTTTCTTAGATCTTCAAGGAATGTTACATTGTGCTGGAATAGTTTGTTGTATCATGAATCCAATTCTTTAAATTTATGATCACTTACTGATGGTTACTGGCATACCTGGAGAACAGAGCAAATGAGTCAGATCCTGGTGTTCTGTTTCACATTGTAAGAACTGTCTCATATAGGTAGAAGGTAGGGTTGTTCTCAGAGTTTCATAAAGGAAATCTGAGACCTAGGAGACATTAACTAAACAAAAGCTGTTAAGGAATAGAAGAGCCCTGCAGTATGGCTTGCCCTGACTTCTTGCATAGATACCTAGGAAGAAAACCCCCTCTGCTCTAGAATATTCACTCTTCTTCTTCTCCCTTATATTCACTAACAATTATTAAAGATTAATCTGATTAACCAAACTCTTCTTAAAATTATAAATCTTTCCATGTGAGGTTTATAATCATATTGGACAATATACTTTTTTGTGGTGCTGGAGATTGAACCCCATGTGAGGCAAACACTCTACCAACTGAGCTATATCCCTAGCCCCAACAGCATATTTTTATAGGACTGGGGATGTGGCTCAGTGGTAAAGTGCCCCTGAATTCAATTCCTGATACCCCCCTGAATACTATTTATGTTCATTTATAGTTTATACAAATATTTTTGATGGTGCTGGGGATTGAACATCTGCACGCTAGGAAAACACACTACCATTGAGCTACACCCCCAGCCCTTTATACAATCTTAAAAAAAACTGTATTCTCTTTTTTTGATCCTTAAGTACTTAGTCAAGTAGGTTATCATTCTAATTTTACTGATAAGAAAATTGAGGCTCAGAGATTAAGTGATTTGTCTATGGTCAGCAATTAGTAAAGAGCTGATTCTGAATCAGGATTTAGGTATGTACACTATTATCCTTATTAGAAATGTCTCAGATCAGTTACTTTAACGTAAATATTTGTTAGATTATTGAACTAAGTTACCAGGAAGCCCCAATATTAAAGCAATGACTAGGAGTGGTGCTGGTTAATCTTGGATAGGATATCCATAATTATGAGAAGAGTGAGAGGAAAAATGAGCTTCATCAAGCTATTTCCCCATTCTGAGAGTTACTCTGAAGGTTACCTTGTCTCTTCACAGTCTTGTCCCCATCATCAGTGACAGTTACCTTCTGGGATTCTACTAGCATCTCTGAGGACTGAAATATTCTTTTGCTGTAGTTTATTCAGCTTATCATATGTATCCCTAGTTACTTAGAAATTCTGGAGTTTTTCTAAGCCTTGAAGATGACCCAAAGTCCCTGAAGAGACTGTTCACAATTGGATATATCATTTACCTCTTCTTTTTCAAAAGGGGGAGAATCACCAAGCAAAAATATCTCCAGTTTCACCTCAGGGGATGGTCAAAAAGAGATCAGCTTTTGAAGATCTTACCAATGTGAGTATACTAGTTCAATTCTTTGCTGTGATTTTTGCACAAGCCTTATATAACCTCTTCCTTGAAGGATCTTTCCAGTTACTAGACACTGACCCTCTTTGGAATGGTAAGAGCGAGTTTTATTTGGAATCAATGACCTAATTTCACAAACTGCAGGGGCTCTTCCACTGACACAAACCATTTGGGTCAATTGGTAGGATTCTCTGGGAGTGGCAGATAGTGTGATTAGCAGATATAAAATTGTGGATCACTATGAGAACAATGGGATATTGTGTTTTCCTCAGGTCCAGAGGTGGCTCAGCTGTCTTCCTAGGCTCTGGAGATAAGTATTTTGGTGTAATCATTGTATTCTATGGTAGTATCTATCGATTCAAGCACTATGGATATTTTGGGCAGGACAATTTTTTTATTGTTTAGGTTGGACCTCAGCCAGCATATCTGTCTCCCAGATATTATATTCCAGCATCATCCCAGTGACAATCAAAAATACCTCCTGAATCCACAGAACCATTGAGAACCAAAGTTCAAAGATCTGGTCTTCAACTATGAAAATCTAGAATCTCAATTTTGATTAGAATTCTTGAGTATACCTCCAAGTCACCTACCTTCTGGTATTATTAAGATACTAGCAAAAATAATGATTAATAGACTATTGTTAGTTGAATATAGAATCAGGACAAATGATAGTCTTTGGTCATAGAAAATAGTAATGACTGATGCCTACTGAATGCTTACTATGTGCTTATTAGGCAATAGTTTAAGTACTTTTTTCCTATATCCACTTACTTAAACCTTGTATAACTTTAAGAGGTAGATACTGTAATTATCTATTTTACAGATGAGGACTTTATCATTATTGACATTGAAGTCTATTTCATCCAGGCTACAGAGAAACCTGGTGAACTATTCTTGCCTCTTACAATAGAGTGCTTCTATGGCTGCCAAAATACCTGTATCTACCAGGTGATGCTTTAACTCACTGGGCAAGACGGGATAAGCTTTAGCAAGGTTCTTTTCTTTGGATCCCTGCTCTTTAGAATCAGTGTCTTTTCTCTGCAGATTCCAGCATATATGTTAGCTTTCCAGGTAATTTCAGATTTGCTATCAGTTGGTAAAAAGAGCTCCCTTACATACATATACCTATAATTTAGGTTCTTTCTTGGCTTATTTAACTACACATCTAGAAACTGGATTGAAATAAGGTAGCCACAGATGCAGTCCATCTTTTTTGTAACTTTCGTTCACCTGCAGAGCCCATGGAGGAATGCAGTGGAACGGTACAAGGTGTCTTTGTCCATTTAGGCTACTATAACAAAATACCTTAAGCTGGGTAACCTGTTGTTTGTTTATACAACAAAAATTTATTGCTCACAGTTTTAGAGACTGGGAAATCCAAACTCAGGGTTCTGGTGAATTTGTTATCTGGTAAAGTATCCATTTTTCATGATCAATGTTTTCTAGCTCTGTCCTCACAAGGCAGTGGGGCAATCAAGCTTCTTTAGGTCTCTTTTATAAGGATACTAGTCCCATTCATGAGAGCTCTCCTCTCATGACTTAATCACTGCCCAAAAGGCCCATCTCCTAATATTACCACATTGAGGATTAGGTTTCAACATATGAGTTGAAGTGCAGGCACAGATATTCAGATCATAGTAGTCTCAAAGCATGTGAGAGACCAACATTCTTGCCAAGTCTCAGTCCTTTTTCCCATGACGTTTATTTCACCATTCAGAAATAACAGACACAAATGAATTGTACCAATAATAGGAACTCCATGTAGATATGCAGGACTTCCTCATAGGGGGCAGAAAGTGGGGAACAGGGCATCCCAAAGCAGCATCTCTGCCTGTAGCTTTCCAGCAGCTCAGTAAGCCCATTTCTCTTCTATCATGTGCCACCACACCTGGCTAAAGTTCTAAAGATTGTTTTGGTCACCTTGAATGATCTTTGGTGCTTTCCACAGAAAGTTCCACCAATATAATGTACATAAGCTATTCCTAGGGTCTAGAGTCTACAGATGTCTGAACTTATCAATTTTAGGTTTGAGGGCTCCTTATTCTGTGAATTTTAGGGATTACCTATCTGGTGATTTGCTTCTTCCTTTCAGTAGTACTAGATCTCCATGTCCCTATCTCTGTCATCTTCTCAACATTTGCTATAGTCAGGTCCTGGCCTGACAACTAGAATTGATCTGTTTTGATTCTTTAATAAACTGAGTTTTTCTTTCCATCTCCTTTATCATTTTTAGCATGGGAAGAATTTTTGATACGTTAGAACTGGTGCTAAGCCAGTAGACAAGGAGATGGGGCCTATATATAAAAACCATTTGCCTAAATGGCTTTGTGACAATAGGATTTTCATCTCTATTCTCCTGTTTCATATTATGAAGAAGTATAGGTAAAGATTCTCTTAAGCTTAGGTCTGAACGTAACAATGCTTTGAATCTGCACATATGGCAGATAGAGGGTTCCACCTTGGGGGTTAGGGTCTCCACCTCTCTTCTGCCAAAAATGCACCTACTTTCCCATTCTGAATCTTGATTGCACATATGAGTACTTTGTAAAACTCTAGGTGAAATTAAATGAAAACTCCCCTCTTCAAAAAAAAGAGCAGTCCTCATTTTGTATTTGTCAGTGGGAAATGAAGCCAGAGGTGGATAACCTGAGGTATTAAGAAAGAATTTCCTACTGATTTGTAGTTGCTTATTATGATCTAATCATACAGAGGCACTCTTTTTTTTCTACTGTTCATTTGGAAATAAATTTAAATTTACAGTGTTGTAGAAATAAAAAAATAGTGCAACAAACATCCCTATACATTACCCTATACACTCTAGGACTTCCTCATAGGAGGCAGAGTGTGGGGAACAAGGCCCTTTATCCCTAATGACTTAAGTCCTTATTTCCTAAAAATAGGTAAATTGTCTTATACAACCACAGAACAGTTATCAATTCATATTGATAAATTTATATTATTCATATTGAATAGCACTGTAGTTATACATTTACATGATACAGCACTTTTATGTAACCAGTCATCCGTATTCCAGTTTTGTCAATTGGCCTATAAATATCCTTGATGACATTTTCCCCCTCCAGTAAAGGATCCAGTCTAGGATCACATACTACATTACTTTGTGTTTTTAGCATCTTATCTGGGACATTTCCATAGCCTTGTTCTTTAATAATATTACCACTTATGAAAGATACAGTCACACCCAACTCCTCTCTTCATAAAAAGAGCAGTCCTCATTTTGTATTTGTCAGATTATTTTTCTTGTGATTAGATTGATGTTATACATTGTTGGCTAAAATGTTGTGCAGGTGATGTACTGTCCTGGTAGAATCACATCTTAAGCACATGCTGCCTATTGGCCTTTCATTGGTAATGTTATTTATTTATTTTTGTGGTACTGGGAATTGGACCCAGGGGTGCTCTACCAATTGAGCTACATCCCAAGCCCTTTTATTTTTTATTTGAGATAGGGTCTTTCTACATTGCTGAGGTTGGCCTCAAACTTGTAATTCCCCTGCCTTATCCTTCCAGGTAGCCACAATTCTAGGCATGTGCTACTGCGACCAGCTGCTAATGTTATTTTGATCACCTGGTTAAGCTGTTGCCTGATTTCTCCCCTGCATAATTATTGTTTATTTTTTTCCTCTTGCAACTAATAAGTAGTCTGTAGGACATATTCTTAAGAGCTTGCAAATAATCTGCTCTTCATCAAAATGTCCCCTAGGTGGGACACCATCCTTGATGATTTCTGCCTAAATTAATCTTTATTATGATTTTTCTTACTCCAGCACTCACTCCTCATTTACCAGTCTTTCCCTGGCATTCTGCTACAAGCTTGAGCCTTCCCTTCTCCTCTGTAATTATTGGTGTGGGCTCATCAATTCCTGTTGTTTTCAGTGGTTCATAGTTCACTATACTTTATTTTAGTGCTCAAATTGCTTTAAATTTTTCCAATAGGAGTCCTTGCAATCTTATTACTCTGTCCTTGTGACATGCTTTCAATATTTTTTGAGCATTTTCTTTCTAACATAAACAAGATGTTCCAGGCTCATCTTACTCCAACTCTGTCCCAAGCTCTATAGCAAACCATTTCTCCAAAGAGTTCTGGTTTCTCTCAATGAAAGTGGTATTAGATACCAAGGTCTCAGTACTACGTGTGTTACTGGGATATTTGCTTTTTCTGCTCTTCCAGAAGACAGAGGTAAGAAATTTCTGTACATATGTTATGATTTGGATATATGGTATCCCCTAAAAGCTCATTGTGAGACAATGCAAGGAAGTTTATAGGTAAAATGATTGAGTTATGAGAGCTTTAACTTAATCAGTGCATTAATCTACTGATATGGATTAATTGGGCTGTAACTATAGGCAAGAAAGGTGTAGATAGAGGAGGTAGGTCACTGGGGGCATGCCTTTGGAGGTTATAGTTTGTCCCTGGTGAGCAGAGCTTTCTATCTGCTTCCTGATTGTCATGTCCGGATCTGCTCTTCTCCTCCACAACTTTCTGCCATGATGTTCTTGCCTCATCTTGGGCCTAGAGTAACCGAGTCAAACTTTTATGGACTGAGGAGACCTCTGAAAATATGGGCCCCAAATTAACTTTTCCTTCTCTTTGTTATTCTTGTCAGGTCTTTTGGTCACAGAGGTGAAAAAACTGACTGAAATAACACACAAACCCACACACAAGTGTATTTGAATACATGTATAGCTATATATATACACAGATATACAACCAATATATAGACACATACCTACTTTGAGAATTCATGAATTTTCATAACTCTAATTCTAATACACAGATTTTTGTATTCCCTTGTTGAGAGCCACAGCCAAAGGGGCCCCAGCAAACTTCCAGCTGCCAGCTGATGATTGGCTCACAGTGGCCCCAGCAAACTTCTAGCTGCCAACTGATTGGCTCCTCTGCGGTGATGCTCATTGTGCTGTTTTCCCGCCCTTTCAGACCACGGAGCTGCTC